CATGTATAATGAATATTTAAAATTTGAATATAATCAGTGAAAGCAAGTCAGAAATATGGCACGAGAGCCACATTCATTAAAACAAAATGGCCGCCAGGCGGCCATTTTGAATCTTATCTGAAAAACAAAATTATTTGCATCAAGGTCCCATACGTCTAATGTATATACCAAGTTTGAACAAAATCCATCTGTAAACAGCCGAGAAATGCTTGATTTTTTTTGGATTTTTTAGCACAAAAATGGCCGCAATTGGACCATCTTGAATCAGATCGTAAAACAAATTGATGTGCATATGTATAATATCATGTATGATGTACACTGTATGTGTGAAGTTTGATTGTGATTGGTCCAGGCATTTCTAAGATACAAGTCCGGACGCACACACGGAGTCAAAACACAAGTCCCCGTTTTCGGACTGCGTCTGAACGGAGACTAATAATTTATATTCCAAAACATTGATTAGTTTGTATATCGTATAATCAGAAAATGTTGCCTTTCATTTCTAGCATTCATGAGGTAGTCATAAATTGGGGATTTATTGAAATTTAATATACACAATAATTGGACTGCAGATAATACATAATGCATACGCTGTACATCATATATACACAACACATAGGCGGCAATACGTATGTGTTATGGGTGACCTAAGTCACTATGGGTGCAATTATACTATCTTAAATCTTCAAAGTATACATGTATATGTGGGTACATACCAGTCTCTCTCCAGAAAGCACTTCAAGCAGCTTGATTAACATTTTGCCATCCCTCAAATCGGTGTATAGGTCTGCTATGCGACATGATACTCGTTGCAAATGAGAATTCACCCATTTGCAAAATGTCTTCTTTTGTACAGTTTCACGCTCATCTGAAATCAAACAAAAGTAACACACTCTTGATTAATTAATTATTCAGAACAAGCCAACTACCGGTATTTGCCTTTTTTTAAAATTCACAGTTGTGTGTTCATTTTTATGCATGTTCACCTAACACCCGACAGGCATGAAGTACAGTACTTGCTTTTCATAAAAGACATATTGACAAATTCCAGAAACAATATTTATATTAGGTTTATCATAACAAAATCAAGCCAGATTGACTAACAGGTTTTCGTGACACAATCCACTTTGGTATACTGAGAGAATTGTATAGCACTTTATGATAGAAAAGAAAGCCGATACTGGGGCAAATTTATAAAGCGTGAACAGGACTACAATACTTAAACACATTGACAAAGACCAACCATCAAACTTACCTGATTTAAAAACTATAGTCAGCATTCTTGAGTAAATTAAGTAAAAGTTGCTTCTTATTTAAAAAAAAAAAAAAAAAATACTACAAAGTCGATAAAACTGTACTTACTGTTCCGGCCTGCTTATCACCCGACACTTCTACTTTCAATACCAATGTCTAAACTTACTACACATATTCTGACAGTACACCAAAACAAACATGTCCACTAACTCCAACATTAGAAATGTTAACACACAAACTGTTCAGAATCGTAATGAAAATTAGTGGAGCCAGTTATTTTAGTTAACTTCTGTTTTCTTTAATATAAAGCATGCTTTGTCCTGTGTCAAGTATCACCTACGTGATGTAATGCTAGCTAGTTAATTATTAACTCATGAATGTTAATCTTACGATTTTATTGCATTTGAGAATTATTATGCAGAGGCAACAGGAACACTAAGGATATGCAGGATTTATTAATAAAAAAAATGGAGATAATTTCCTTCCAAGTCTAGCTCCTATTAAGTTCCAGTCATTTTTTATTGGCTTTTAGGTTATACATATCCCCCAAATTGGATAGATGCGACTATGAATATTACAGTTGCGATTGCATGCTGCAAATTACAAGTATAAATTGCTTAGTATTTGTCGGATTTCATGCAGAAAAAGTAAAACTGGAAATACACATGTACCACCAATAGACAACGATTACTACTGGGTATACTGACTTGGGTTTTTAAAAGACGTTTAAAATAAGAATACTTTTAATTTTTAAAGCAAACCACATGGCATGCATGTAGCTACACGTGTGTACAATGTATCAATAATTTACATGAATAAATGATGTCAGGAAGTCAAACCCTATACAGCAAACAATGTTTAACCACACCTCTCATCCAGCAATACCAAAACAACAGATTTCAATAAATCATATAAGTAACAAAGTATGTGCGTGGCAACAACCCTAGCTAGGAATCGCTAGTACGATAAATTTAACAGAAAACTAGCCAAACAACTCAAACCCCACAACTGTATCAATAATCTGAATCTGGTATTACTCTTTCTTACCTTTAAACTGTTGTATTTTGGACTCCATATGGGACGTTGAAGGCATTAAGGTATAGGCCCCACATGCCAAAACAACGATTGTCGGTAGTAATATTCAACTAAATCTACTGAAGTTCTAAACGTGACGAAGAGTGAAACAACTTGAACAGTCATTAAGATCCCAGGATCCTCTACATCTGCATACAGTTATTCCTCAAAACACGTTGTTGCTAAATTATAACGTACTCTACTTGGTAGACTCGGCGACTCATAAATGTCAGGCAAATTTTGTTGACATCAAGTAATTCAGGTGTTGGAAAAATCTTGTTGGCAACTACGTGGGGAGGCTACATGCAGGAGCAGCAAACTATGTTACCAATTCTCCATTACCAATGTAACTTCTTGTGCACACAAATACTCGTGTCAAAATTCAGCTTTCGTTTCAGGTGCAAGGTAGAAGTGCAAGTGATTCAACAATGTGTGCACAATTTTCCTTTCAGTACAATTCCCAGGATTGAAACATAATCTTATTGAAGTTTGACACCCCTCAATCCATGAATGAAACAGTCCAACGTCTGTACAACAAGCTACGAAGCTACTTTGCATACTGTTAGAAAAACAGGTAGACATTTGAACCCAGCTCTGGGGTGAAATAATTCTAAACACACCCATTTATGGCACGTGAAGGCTGTATAAATACAGGTGTCAACTGACCGCCAATCAGACAAACAAGCAAGATTTAATGGTAAATTTCAGGATACTGACCCTACCACCGACAAATCCGATGCTTTCATCATGATGGCAACAGCCGACTCGTAATAAATTGTGTCGCTTAAAAATAATTCGACAAATACCGTAACTCTTGCACAAAAATATAGAAATGAAATGAGTAATTAAAATACCTCATTTCAATTTTATAAAACTATGCAATGATGATGGAAGATATTTTCAGTAGAATTTGATGCGTTGAGATTTATTATACAAGATAGTATGTGGGCACATGATAGTGGGTATCCATTTCACTCGGGGTATTTCTAATGCAAAATTCCTGTTAAATTCAAATGTACAGAAACACAGCAAGAAAGTCTACTAAGCTATAATGTTCTTTTTCTGTGCTGATGGATGTTTCTATATCCATCCACGAAGACTGACAGCACAAATAAAAAAGATCGTGTGGAAACTAGCGTTATTAGTATTATTTACATATCAGAAGGGTAACCAAGCACAAGTAACAACAAGACTTTTCATCCCAAACACTACACATGCCATAGTAACCAACACCATGGCTGATTGACTGCATAACAGCTATGCAATGGTTTGCAAACACCACTATGGAATAGGCACTGAGCCATTGGATTACAAGCAAAATGCTTTAGGTTACGCCTCAGTAGTCAAGTAGTCTTCAAAAGCAAGTCTAACCAGGCTGGCACTTGATTGTGCTTTGAGCTGCTACAAAAAAAAAGTAAATACCATCAAATTTATCTCACGTTTTTAAAGTGTTCTGGTTGTCTTCCTTTGTTCAGAGGGGATGGAACAACAATACAGCATGTGACTGACATAAAATCACACCATTAAATGCAGACATTTGTGCAAACACTTGGCGACATTATTTCGCATAAAAGGTATACACTCAAGTATGCATATGAATCAAACCTTCAAATACACACCAGTTAATACCAGTAGATGTACTGCTTTCACAATTGCATAAATATCCCTACTGACAAAACCCAAAGTAACTTTTTTATATCAAGTTAGCACACAGCTTAAATACTCTAAAGACCCAATATGAATTTTTTTTACTCTACACAACAGGTGCAGATCTTATTAATAACAAATACTATAAAACCATAAGAATTTATTTTCATTTGCATTTAATTTCACTATTTTGATATTGTGAGCATACCACTGGGTTTTAAATTTGTGAATTTGCCAAGGAGTTGCATTGTAATTTTACATGCGCATGTGGATTTAACTTCACAAATTTTTTCTATCAGCCAAATTAAAACCTAATGAATATTTAATGTATTTACATAATAACCAAACCTTTGTATTAAAGAGAACTTTATTTTATCAATGTTATTACTTTTATTAATCGTGGGTATCTATTTATTTCAGTGAACTTTGGTCGTGAAAAAGTAAAATCACAAGTGCAAAGAAAAAAAGCAGCATGAAGGTAAGCAGTTGATAAAGGTAAATCATTAACTCTGTAACGTTGCTTATCATTTACCAATAATCCATAATCTTAGTGACATTTGTTCAGGTTTTAACCTTTGACCCATGTCCTCCCTCACGCAATACAAAAATCATATGAATGAACATTACAGTAATTCAAATGAATCAAAAAGCACAATTTAGCCGTGGTTTATCACTCTTATTTAAAATGCTATTACACTTCTTGGAACATAATCATTCCTCTAAACAGAGCTTACCATTAAACAGGATTAGAGAAATAATCATCGGGTGATTGATTGAAATTCATTGTACTATATTTCAGTCTCAGTAGACCATCAAATGCTGCAGGTGGTGTGAAACCGCCACTTGATCAGCTATTGGTGACAGCTTTGTTCAAGGTTATTTTTAGAAATTCAAACACAGCTATAGAAGAACTTTTTATATATATATTTATATGAGTGGAGTTACTTCAGTAAAAATTCTAAAAAAAATTCACAAAATTGAGATTAACCTTACATTAAACTTGTATAGAAATAATGTTGTTCAATATTTTTCCTTTGAATTTGGGAATGTCTCAACGTTTTATGTATCAAAACGCAAGTAAATCTCTAGGAGGAATATCAAATAAAGTGGCAATGACTAAAGGTTAGATGATAAACCTAATTGTTTTTTCCCCTCTTGGAGCTTATTTGTATTGCACAGATTTAGTAGAATCAGTGACCCTTACTAAGTGAATAATGTCTAACTGTGTGACTAACGAATAACTTGTAACTAATACGTCTGGTAATTCTTAAATTTGAACAAGATACATTAATTGTATATTCTATTATTAATTCAGGAAATTGAACTGTTATGGAGTGGAATAGGATTGTCCTACTCCAGGATTCATACATGTACAAACTAATATCTGAACTGATACAAGTATTCGTAACTATTTCAATAGTTTGATGCCTTTTAGAAATTATTTAGGGAAACTAATCTTGCAATTCTATTGAATACATAACACAGGTGATGCCAGGTGATACAAATTCTAATGTCATCAAATATCATTAACCATTTATCAAGGCTATGAACTTTTCGGATACAGCTATAAATCAAATGACCTTAGTAAGCTGACCTAGACTGATATGCACATACAGCATACAGCCTGTATATTAACATTATCAAAACCTGTGAGGGCGCTGCACTCAACTGAGAATGGGGAAGAAAAAGGGTGTGTCAGTCATTCACTCACTCAATGGTGCGTTTGTTAGAATAGCCGAGGCGGTATCATTCATAAAATTAAAGTAGAAACTATTTCAGTTGACTGATCAAAAAAAGGATAATTTGGTGAGAAAAATATTAAACAGAACTAACATAATATGAAGTTTTAATAACATTCAGAAACACTAAGCCTGGCATTCCAACAACTATGCT